TTTTTTTTTAAGGATTTTGGTAATGACACATTTTGGTAGGGGATTAGGATCGAGGGTGAGGAAAATGGTAACAGGTTACAAGGATGCAACGGAAAGCCCTTGAATATATGACTTTCTACTACAGTTCCGCCTTTACCAAGTTTCACCAGATTAAAGGGATCCGTTCTGAAGCCTATTCCGAAAAAGTCATGCATGCATGTTCATTTTGTCGAAGCTACTTCTGCCCTTTACTAAGTTTTTCAGAAGTCCCCACAAGGAGCACAGAATGTGGAGAAAACACAGTAAGCGCCACTTAACAATAGTTCAAGATTCCCATTCCCCTAGAAAATGAACCTACTTTTAGGATGATGGATGTTGTGATTAAGGCACGTGGTTTCCTTTTTGAACTTTGTTGAAGACACATGCCGCAATAGTGGGATTCGAAAAAGGAAATAGACGTGATAAGGGATCGCGAATTAACTATTTGTTTACTAACTGCTTACCGTACTTCAACGAGCATCAAGGTTTCAAGCTTTTCGCGTATCTCACTCAAAGCATTTTAGAAATCCCCTCAAGGCGCACAGAATCTGGAAAAGACACAGTAAGTGCAAATTTGAAAAAAATGCTTGTGATTGAAATGTATCTAAAAGATGAACCCTATTTCAGGATGATGGATGTCATCGTCAAGGCACGTTACCTCATTCTTGAACTTTGATAAAGACACATTCTGCGATGGTAGGTTCAAAAATAAAGCCATAGGTGGTGAAGGGCTCGGAAGAAAAGAAAATTCATCAAAGCATAGTATGGGAATAAAAGAAAGAAAACCTATTCCTGCAGTTAAAGTTCCTTATTGTTCGAGAATGGCCGCGTTCAGACTTTGCGTCAGTGGGTCGCCGACGCCCAACATTGCAACCAAACTATCGATATTGATCTACCGCGGGCCGGCTGGTTGACTGCGGTTACTGCAACACATTCTTAACTCGTTGGAACTCGTACAACCGAGTGCTGAGATCCTGACGCGTTTGTTCATTACTTGTAGGATCCCGTTGGGGCAACTTCAGTTGTCAAGCTATTCATTCTTCACTTGTTGATACACGTTCGGACGAGTAGTAGTATAGGAACACATAATATCATCCCTTACTAGTTAATATCACATATTATTCAGTGATATCGCTCTGTTTACCACTCAGCAACATATTTACTGCCGATGCTTCAATCTTACCTATATCTATTCGTATCAGTAAGGGCTGGCCTGTCTCATGACTGGGCATGTACTCTCTGAAGGATTCGCCTCATAGGCCAATCTTCTTCAAAATTTCGCTATATGATTTCGCTCCTGATTACATATGAAGCGGATTTCCTTCCCTCCTACCATACCAATCGCAAAATGTGCCTTCACCGTCCTGCTTTACGAAATATTTCAACGATTTTCAGCCTGATCAGGATGCCATGGAGACTTCTTCTAAGGTATGCAGCGGTGCAATAGTCTCCTACACTATTTCCTTCAGGCTTGCATTTGAAAGGTGTATTTTCAGAGGAAGAGAGGAACACAGATTGACAAAACTAAGGCGGACACCACTGTGGACGAGAAAACGACGAGCGACGTAAAAGGAGACTCAGGATCGGTAAGTAGTACACGTTTCTTTTTTTTTGGAAAAAAGCTTCAGCTGCTTTTGTAACTTACTGATGCCGCTCTGGACATTCCTCCTTTGGTATCAGTGCGTAGCAAACTCCTTCGATGAGCGCTAGTAATGCTAGCGCTTGGGTCCGGAATCATCTCCCCGAAAACGGCGCACGCCGCACCCGCCGCGTATCGCAAGATTGCGGTGGAAGATTGGAGCGTGCAAGTTGTGAAGTACTGAGTCCTTTAATTATTTATATTGACTGGCCGCTCTCTTCGATTCCAATGCGGTCGTGATCGTCGCTAGTATGAAAGGAAACATTCTAATAAATCAAGTCTTGTAAACATAAAAACGAAAAAGAAACAGAAGAAAAACGATCAAATCTAATAAAAAAGAAAGGCATTCAGAGAAAAATATTGCGTCCTGATCGATTGGTGGGGAGGCGGGATGAGCACGGTAATTGAGTGACATTTGCCGCNTGCCGCAAGGGAGAATGCCGCAATCGGGGAGAAGTTCCGTTACCCCTAGTGCTTTCCATATGTGTACGTTTTCACACCGCTTTACATTTCTAGTATCACTAATCACTACCATTTCAGAAAAGAAAAAAGAAGAAAGCTGATACTATTTGTGAAACTCAAATAGAGGCAGCCAGTCCTGTGGGTTTATTCTGACGAAATCAAGCAGAAAAATTTAATGTAAGCCTATGAAGGGTGGAAGTCAAATGTAAATGAAAATTTTCGGCTTCGGCTCCCATGATCCGTTCAGCATGTCCCATTTTCTACTAACTCCGCCGCCTCCTTGCTCCTTGGGAACTACTCAGAACCATCTGAGTTGGACGCCAGAGCACCTAGAGAAATCTCAAGGCATAGACCTTTACCACACTGTTTGAAATACTAATGAATGCAGCTCCCGTGTTGTTGAAAATGTTTCAATTTCCAAAGAATCCTGGTATCAATAGAAACCCGCAGAGATGGGAAATGTGGATGATCGGAGCAGGATTCGATCCAAAGGCCATGAGTTTGTTAAACGCGTTGTCCATCTAGAAAAGTAGTGGGAGGAAACATTACCAAGATGCATGATTTTAGCGGTTTCTAACGACAAAAGTAGCAACAGTTTAGTTCTATGCGTGATAAAAAGTGATAAGGGAAAGTACTCAATGGGGTAAGGGGTTCATTAAAAGATATAGCACAAAAATAAGTAGGGCCACAGGTAGTGATGTCACTTATATAGAATGACAGGAGCCCGTTTATATCAACCATGGTCTTCCTTAAATTTTTCTCAAAAAGTTCACTTTTAAGTGCTTTGTTATAGAGGAAGAAAAAGACGAAGAAAAAAGATGCTACGGAAAATACTATGGGCACAGTAATAGTTGAGGTAGACAACAATGAAAAATTGATAGAGAAAGGGAAGAGCGTAAGTTGATATGCTTCTTTTTTGGCAAAATTACAATTTCAAAGGACGACAGATAGGCTGTGAAAAATGAACTGCGTGGAATTACCCCCTTTAACTGAAAATTCGAGAAGGAAGTAAAGCTAATAGTATTTTTAGTTTACAAGGATCACTCTCGCCTCCCCAAGATTTAAGAGATCGATGGCATATCAAAAAATGTTACTTCTGTATCTCCACCACCAATATACTAAGCCCCCTGCCATGCTAGGTGCAAGCTAACAAATTCTACCTCAGCCCTTTGAAATCAATTTTTTATCCTTTTTTTGTTTTCACTGCATTTTTCAGATCATTACGTCAATTCGAGCTCGGAAAAGCCGTTCCCTTACTTCTCTCAAAAAGAAGAAAGCCAAAGTGAGTGATACATTTTAGAATCTGGCATTATGCGGGAGAGCCCCAACCTCATCAGTGAGCAGAGCCATTTCCAAGCGCCCCATTCATTGGCAGTCACTTCCCTTCGTCAGGGACATCATCCTAACTCAGGATCGCTATGTACACTCATAGTGCTGAGAGAAACTTTGGAAATCACTGTGCACTCCCCATGAGTACGTAGGTTTCGACTGTTGCAAGCGCGGTGATACAGCTCACCTCTTCCCATCCCTCCCTTCTCGAATGTCCAGTGGTGCAGCGCAATTCCAATAGCAAAGCGTACGCTCTCATAACGACACATATGTTTAAGCTATTAGATTCAACAAGAAACCCGGACCTATTGTCACACGCTCGTAACAAAACGTCCGCTAAGACTTGACTGATCATCAGCTGCTGTTCCAACCATTATTGAGATGTGTGCTGAAGTGCACGAACAATTCGCAGTACATGAGTCGAGACACAAAACCAAATTCTGAAAGTCTCACAAGGTTGGCGATTTAAGGGCAAAACTCCAGCCTTGAACGGGACTTCAGCCCTGCACGGAAAGCACAAGTACGGATTCGAGTCCTTTTCGAGACTGGAGTTTTGCCCATAAATCGCCAACCTTTTGAGACTTTCGGAATGCGTACTGGGGCGAAATAACAGCAGTTAACAAAACATAAAGTCAAAACTAAATTCTGACTAAATCCTAACCAAACACTTTCAGACGGAAGGAACAGATGTACCAACTGCTGGCGGATCAGTGGAATCAGATGTACGTTTTACAGTTATCGTCGAACTTGCTATTACTGTTTCCATAAAATGCGTTAAGTTTCCATAAAGGATAATCGTGAAGCATACAACTCGAATAATTTCTCTATGTAGTATGTAATAGTATGTAATCGTAATGCATCATAATCATGCACATTTACAGTATTTACAATTTATGACTAAAATGTAACCCTGCTATTATTTCTTCCAAGTTGCCTAACAAACTCAAGGCATTTTGATCCTCATGGCTGAAATCTTAAGATAATTTATTAAATGCTCTTGCTGTTATGTAAGGGTTCGAACATTATTACAAAGTACCCCAAAAAGGCTCTGCTGGACTACCTTGGATAGAATCATGACTAAGAGCGGGCGGTGCTGTGCTCATAGCCGGTACTGGCCGCTGTACCAGCTCCATGTAACTCCGGGAGCTCTCGCGATACCTGGAGACCTTCTTTTATCAGTGAAACGCTCAAAAAAATGTCAAAATAACACTACAGGAGGTGTAGAAGAGTTTGTGAAAAACCATAATACTGAAAAGCGCAAAGATTTGCTGTGCTATGTGTATGAACATTTTAAGAAACCGCCGTCAGAGAAGTCATCTCGAACAAGCCTCATGCTCGCACTAGGACCACAAGTTCGCGAGAGATCATCTAGAAAAAGCGTAATGTTGCCACCATCTCAACAACCGAAAGAAGAAAAAAGTGTCCGAACGACATCAATCAGAGGTTGCTCAATTTTTTATCACACTGTATCGATTTGGTAACTTTTGAAAAATCTTTGAAGATAATAGCTGTTGATGAAAAGCTTAAATAAGTAATGGAATGTAAATTGCCTTATTTTTCTAAAGCTCACTGTATTTTCCAGAACGTCTAAAACGTGGACTGAAATCGGCCATCAGTGCTTTTAGCAAAGCTTCCATTGAAAAATCTTTTCAAAGCGCAAAAGCTCGACTTGGATACACTCCGCCGGCGGTATCTACGGAAAAACTTGGATATCCTTTTTGTTCTAATCCACTTCTTTTCAGGGGAGGGTCACTTATGCCTATCAAGACACATACATGGGCGGGTGCGTGCATCTAACAAGTTTCCATTTAAATTTTCTTATGCCCTCTGTTTTCACAACACTTTCAATCATGACTCGGACAGAAAGTTCCGCAAAGTTTGGACATAACGGCAAGAAGGGACCCTACATGGAGCTGCGTTAATAGCTAAGAGATTGCGGTTTTGTGAAGATCAAAATTCGTCCGTAGAAGAGCTGCATTTGAAAATGCACGGCCAGGGAAAACGCTGGAATTTGGTCATTCGTTGTGTGGGCAATCGGATCAGAATTTTAGTGAAGTGAATAAGCCACCTAGTCGGACCACGTAGGATGGATGGCTCATGAGTTCGAAGCAAAATCTAATCCAGTAGACGACCCATGGATTACGTTCACTTGATGGAGGTGCCATTTGCCTCGATCCCGTCCTCGTCCTCATGTCCTAGCTTTACTATATTTTTGCTCTCAAAAATCCGTAGCCGTGGCTAACAGAGTGACTCTGATGGTTTTGCTATAGGGCTGAGGAGGAGGAGGAAGAAGAAGAGGAAGACGAAGATGCGGAGGCATTCGCAGATACAAGCCATCGTGATGATTTGATACTAGTAACGACTAACAATACAAATGATGGGGAGTTATTTAATGAGGTGAGAATCAGCATCATTTCAACGGCTATGGTGTAGACAACTTCCTAAACCGTATCCCTTGATTCTATGAGTACTGCATGTCGTCTTAAGGTGCCTTACACGGGCGGAAATCGAGAT